AGGCCAGTGGGTAGAAAGTCTTTGGATCCAATGACATTGGAAACATCTCAGCACTGGAAGAGGTCTCTGTATGGCTTCTCCAGCACTCAGAGTTGCATCAGGGTGGGTCCATGTGTCTTGTTAGCTGCTATGTTTTCCAGGGTGTGAGCAGAGTCTCCCACCTCCAAGGAGGAAAATTCAGCAATTCCCGGAATCCTTAGAGGAAGGCTATACCCACTCAGAGATCTCATTGGCCATATCCTGATTAACAGCCTAGACTCCACCTCTACACTGTTAATCCTCAAATTGACGCTAGATTATGTAACTACCACATTTACCTTTTTGAATTCAGCCTAAAGTGCACTATGTATGTATATATTAATCATTTTATTGGTGGCTCTAACAGCTCTTATAACAAACCAGACAGCTCTTATAACAATCCAGACATTTTATTGGTGGCTCTAACAGCTCTTATAACAATCCAGTTGCACCAAGTATATGTGTACATATGTTGCCAACTTCATTTTCTAAACATTTACTTTCTATTTGAGTCCTTGGTATCAGCTCCTCTCCTCCCCCCCCCAGGTAACCCCTTTATAAATTACAAAATCTTATTATTTTCTTACACCAATTGCTGTATCCCTTCACCCACATTTCTGTTGTGTGTCCCCCTCAGGGTGGTCGTGGTGGTTATGGTGCTATGCACTGATCATTGTAATCTGTTCCCCATTCCTTCCTCCCCCACTCCATTCCCTTTACCCTTCTCGTATCGCTACTCCTATTCATGTTCCTGGAGCTCATGTGTTGTGAGCTCTTATCTGTACTAGCGTATGTGCTCCAGTCTAGCCAGAATTGAAAGTCAGGACTGGAGTCATGGTAGTTGGGGGTGAAGAAGTCTCAAAGAACGAGAGGAATATTGTGATATTGTGTGTTTCATTGGTGCTATACTGCACCCTGGTTGACTCATCCCTTCTTTGTGACCCTTCTGTGAGGGGATGTATTATTTTCCACACATGGACTTTGGGTCTCTGATCCAGTCCACCTTGTCCTCAGTAATATTTTGTTTGTTTGTTTTGAGTCTTCTGATGTCTGTTACATGATCCCGTGGACACAGGCTGGTGACTGCACAGGCTGGTGTGCTTCTTCCAAGTGGGCTTGTTGCACTTCTGCTAGATGGCCGCTTTTTAACTTCAAGACTTTAAGACCCGGACACTATATCTGTTGATAGCCAGGTACCATCAGTGTTCTTCACCACATTTGTTTATGCACCCAGTTTTTCTTCAGTGGTCCTGTTAGGAGTATGAACATCACAGAATGCCAGGTTGTTAGAACAAAGTGTTAATCATTATCATTTCACTTCATTTTACATTTTATATTCCATTAGCAGATAATTTTTTTCCCTTTCTGTGTAATTCATTCTTCAAGGCATTTAACTTTATCTCTACATTTTCTTGAAGAAAATTTATTTCTTCTCTGGAAAATCTGTCCGCTCCCATCCACCTCAAGCACAGTTTCTGATTCAGTATATATATTGCTATATGAGTTTGAATGGTTTTCTTTTAATTCTATCAATAAACAGACATCTTACCAAGGAGGAATCATGGATAGTAACTAAGTATATAATAAGATGTTCAATATTATATTAATTGTTATGGAGATGCAAATTAAAGCCAAAATGAGATACTTTGCACATGTTTCACTGCTATTGTCAGTTGCCATCAAGTCAGTTCTAACTTATGGTGGTCCCATGTGTGCAAAATAGAACAACTCCTTGGGGTTTCCAAGGTTCTGTCTTTTCCGAAACATATCTTGTTGACCTGCCATCCAACATGTCTCTGATTAGATTCTAACTACAAGCATCGGCTAATCATTTTACATTTAACCATTTGCATCACTTAGGGTCCATACACACCTAGTTGAATAGCTAAATACTAATTAATGACCAAGCTAAAAAACACTAAGTGTTGATTAGGATGAAGAGCAATTGAAATGATCATATATTGATTGTGAGAATCTATATGCATTACCAAAAAAATCCGGGAAATCTACTATAAGTTATTTAGCTAAGAGAAGCAAGAACGTTACACAAAAAGCTGTGTAGGAATGTTTAGAGAGACTTTCTTTGCAATTGTCACAAGCTGGAAACTAACCCGTTTTCTGCAATGGCTGCATGGATAAACAAACAGTAGTAGGTTCCTGAAACAGAATACTGTTGTTAGTTTGTTCTGACTCACCTCAACCCTAGATATAAGAGAACTAAACATTGCCTAGTCCTGCCCCATCATCACAGCTATTCCTGTGTTTGAATGCTGAATGCTAGTCAGCAATAAAATGCTAGTCGGCAATAAAAATGAGTGGCTACTGATACATGTGCCAACACCAATTAAGTTGAAATATAATATGCTAGTAAAACAACAACAAAACAAGCAAAAACAAATTAAAAAACCAACACTACATACAATAAGATTTAATTTGACCATTAATGAAAGTAAATTAAAACTGTAAACACAGAAATCACCTTGGTGGTTGGGGGCAGAATTGACCATACATGGGCATGAGACAATTTTGGTAGTAATGGTGCTTTCTGCATGCCAATAGTTTCAGTGGACTTAACACTTTGGATTGAGGGTATTTCACTGCAATTTGTTAAAAATTCCTGTATATCATCACTCTTGGAATATGGACAAGGGTGTTGTTAGCAAATTAAAAAATCAATTCAAATAAAACTCTGTGTGTGAATATTAAAATGAATAATCTAGTTTAAATGAATGTTCTTGTAATTTTGTGAAGAGGTGAGCTAGTTATCTCAGAACATTTTTTTTTGCTCAAAGGTGTGTATTTCAGAAAACAATCTTGTGAAGCCCATAGGCAAGGCATATTAATAAGACATGAAAGAACAGCTGTGGGTAAAGATGACCCCATATTTAGTATGAATTACTGTATCCGTTACAGGTAATTGATCATGACCAAAGAGTTTTTAAAGGTTTTACCCTGGTTACACTGGGAAGGTGCTCAATGATTGGAGCCATATATTCACTTCTACATACCAGTGCACTGGAAATTCTACTTTTAGGTTCTTTCTCACCAATAGTGTGCATCTATAATTAATATCATTTTAAGGCTATTTGTCTATCTTAAGGTACATGTTTTCTTCGGGTAAATATAAATACTAAGTACAAAACATTTTCTGACGTGATAAAAAATTTTCCATTCTTTTTCCTCTTATGTATTTCATATGTTTTCAATTTTTATGAATTAAATAATACTTACATTTGGCATATACAGGCTTTCCTAAGCTAAGTTGTCCCATAAGCTCTAATGCTGAAATGTGTATAACTGGAGCATCACATAATATAAAAAAACACAGTTGGTAGGTCAGATAAAAATGTATTTGAATCCTGATCCCTTTGCACCCTCAGAGCATTCTTTAAATTTCATGATCTTTAATTTAACTATATGAAGTGAATATGAAGTACCTCTTTAAATTTATCATTACATATAATAAAACATAAGAAGTCTCTACTGATTTTCTTAGTGGTAGCTGCTCTAATGATTGCAGTTATAATACCAAGAACATACTTTTAATAATATTATTGCTTCAAGGTTTATAGTTCAAGTTTAATATACAGCCCTGGCCCTAACCAATTTTTCTTTGCTAGTTTATTGTTTAAAGTCAAAAGAAAAGCCAATGGGGCTGCTGCTCAGAATCACACAGGCCCTAAAAATATGGAGCTAGAGCAGGTATATGCAAACTCAGTTCTAAACATTTACTAGGATTAGCTTATTGATTTTATTTGGAATTTTATTAAGAGTCACTATGATAAGAAGGCCTTGTTCATCAGCCCTTCTTGAGAAATGCTATCCAGATCACCTCTTTAATGTGTCTGTGAACAAGATAGCACTTTCAGGAGCGAGGTTCACTTGACCTAAGCCACAATGTTTTTGATAGCTTCATATGCACATGAAAGGAATAAGGAAAATGAAAAAAATTTCACTCATTTGAATTATTGTTGATGAAGAATATTGGAAATAACTTGGGCTGAAAGAGAACCAACAAATATGTCTGAGGAGAAGTACAACCTTTTTACAATGCTCCTTAAAAGGGAGGAGTGTGAGACCTTGGACATATGATCAGGAAAGACCAATCCCTGGAAAAGGCCATCATGCTTAGTAGAGAGTCGTGCAAAAGAGAAAGACTCTCAACAAGATGGATTGACCTAGAGACTCCAAAATGGTTTCAAGCAAAACAACCATTGCTAGGATGGCACAAACCTGGGCGGTGTTTCCTTGTGTTGCACAAAAGGCCACTATGAGTCAGATCCAATTGGAAAATGCCTAACAGCAACAATATGTGGATAAAGCCCTCTTACTAGAATAGGGAGGAAAAACTTAAATATACAGCACAGGAACTTGTGATTTTAATATAAAAATTCCATTTCTCTATATTAACAACTTTCTCTTTTTTTGTCTTGTAAATAAGAAAACACCTTTATTTTTCCTTTAAAAAAAATAAGGCCACATTGTCTTTTACAATTTTTAGAGCCCTGATCCCAAGTTCCATGATACCCACTCTACGCATATAAAGCTATTGGGACCAGTTCTGATCCCATTCTCCTTGCTTTTTAGGTGGTGGCGGTGGGTTACTAGCCGTTCAGTGTGGTCTGCCTCAGCTCTGGAACAGTCCCTGGACGTTGGTGAGTGGCTATTGGACTGTTGCTTACAATGTTTTGTACTTCTCGTCATTATTCAATCAAGCAAATATATCAGGGGAAACATGTGGAGAAGAAGATACCTGTGACACAAATATTTATTTTTATGTGCACCCAAATGAATAAGATATTTAAATGTGGGTAATTTGGATTTTGTTTTGTTTTTTCAATTTAGTGTGATATTTTTTAAAATCATTTTATTAGGGTCTCATACAACTCTTATCATAATCCATGCACACAATTTTGTAAAGCGCATTTGTACATTCATTGCCCTCATCAGTCTCAAAACATTTCCTCTTCACTTAAGCACCTTTATTTCTTTAAGAGCAATACAATTCTTTTTACAGACTCGCTGAATGCTTGTTTAACTTGCTTGTTCCTCAAGGTATAAATGAAAGGGTTCATCATAGGAGCTACGGAAGTTGTAAGTATTGCAACACCCTTATTTATGGCCACTGAGTTCTTTGCTGAAGGTTTGACATAGATAAAGATACAGCTTCCGTAGGTGATGGAAATGACAATCATGTGGGAAGAACAGGTAGAAAAGGCTTTTTTCTTTTGCTGGGCAGAAGGGAAGCCTAAAATTGTCGTAATGATGTATGCATAGGAAAGAACAACACATACAAGGGTCACAATAAAGGTCAACACAGCACAGACTATGACTACTTGCTCTATGAGCCATGTTTCAGAGCATGAGATCTTTAGGATAGGGGACGCATCACAGAGAAAATGGTCAATGACAGTAGAATCACAGAATTCTAGATTTAGGCCCAGGCTTAGAGGTGGGAGGATGATCAACAAGCCAGCTGTCCAGCAGCAAAGAATGAGTCTCCTACAGACCTTGCTGTTCATGATGGTCATGTAATGCAGAGGTTTGCAGATGGCTACATATCGATCATAGGACATGGTCGCTAGGAGAAAAAATTCTGTGGCAGCAAAGAGGTCAGTAAAAAAAATTTGAATAGCACAATTATCATATGTTATTGTCTTGTCACCTGTTGATATATTGTAGAGGTACCTGGGAATGCATGCAGATGTAAATGAGATTTCTAAGAAGGAGAGATTTTGTAGGAAAAAGTACATGGCAGTTTTCAGGTGAGAACTGATGAAGGTGAGTGTGATGATGGTCAGATTCCCCGTCACACTCAGCATGTAGGTGATTAAAAGAAAGAAGAAGATCACAACCTTCAGTTGTGGGTCATCAGTTAATCCCAGCAGAATAAATGTTATTGTTTGGTTTCTCATCTTTAGCTCTTGAGTTCTATTCAATCTGCATTTAAAATAAGTTTTTTATATGAATAGAAGGAAAATGGCAATACAAATAGGCTACCCCACATACATTAAAATTGATTGCAAAAAACATTGATACACTGGTGGTATGGGTTCTATACATTACAAATTGTTGAATGACAAATTAATTTGGTTTGTAAACTTTCACCCAACCCAAAGCATAAATAAATTAAATTAAAATTACGTAACTGATGATTATTTTTTAGACATCATACATTTAATTTTCAGTTTATTATAATAATCTTTTTATTCCAAGAATTATAATTGAAGAAATATACCAAAGTTCATCGATGTCTTTCTATGAAGTTTAGGAGACTTCTAAGTTATATGTGTTCTTTTAACCACCAACAGTTCATAATCTTTACTCATAATTTATCTTTAAATAGCATACATTATTTAAAAATGATCATTTTGCTTTCTGGTCCCATTTCCTTTGAAAATGTTATTAGGAGGCACCATTCCCTGAAGAAGCACAGCAGGCTGATGAAGTAGAGGGTAAGGAAAGAAAAGACTCCCAATGATATAGAGGGACCACTGGATGCTACAAAGAGCTCGTACATAGTAATAATTGTAAGGATGACACAGGACAGGGCTGTTTCTTTTTATACAGTGTTACAATGAGTCGGAAGTGACTTGATGGCCCGTAGCTAAAAGAATGCTTTTTACATTTATCTTCATACATATCCACTTTATTTGGGAATTCTCTTAAAATCTTAATCTCAAAAAAGTGTTACCTTTTCAAAATCGCACTCATATTATCAGATGTTATAAAGTCCAAGATGCAAAGTCCAAACACATAATTTACAAAAGGAACACTTGATTTTCAACACTTTCTTCTAAATTTCTCTCTGTGTTCTTTATAATAAATGTTCTATGTTCTATGTATAGAGACTTACCGTAAAGGATAAATGTAGTGGTGCTAGATACTTAAATAAATACTTCCTATGAATTCTCTATCTACTATCCAATTCTGTTTTCCCACTTTATCCCTGTGCCAGTGCCCAATCCCAACTCAGGATACAGTTCCTTAACCATTGGTTTGCAGATTTCAGGTTCCATAATTTTGCATGTGGGTGTTATTACCTGTTTTAATCACCAAGTTCTGGTTATCCTGAATGACCTCCTGATAATTGTTGCTTAAAATAATATTTAAACTATCTAAGTTTAAAGTTCTCTAAAATGATGTTTTTCCTTCATACCCACATTAAACCTCAGATCTCTAAATTGTATACAGTTATGAGCCATTTCTCTGAGAAAAATATAACTCAGGTCTCAAAAGCAAAAATGTAACTAAAATAACAAAATTTATCATGCTCACTTTTCTGCTAGTTAATCCTACTCTCCTCTATGACTTATTCATTAGCAATTATATTTATAGCAACAATTTGAAAATGAATATAATATTGAAAAACAGAATGAGAATTTCTGGGTAATACCCTTTGAATCTGGTCATTCCCCAGATGAGAACAGCTGTGAATCTCCTTGAATTTTCTATTAATTGCCAAGTGTATTGCATAATGAGTAACTAACAAAAGGCAACAAACCACATACAATTCAATTCAATACTACTCACCCAGAAAATATTTTATTTTACTTCTCATTTACTGAGATGACCATCTAGGTAAAAACAATTCTTCTTTGCTTTGGAATAGCTTCTGAATATTTTTATTTAGAGAAGGGTTTTCCCATGTCAAACTGTCTATTATCATTTACCAAATCTGCAACCAAGTTAATAAACAAAAAAATCCTTAGTGACCAGGTTCCAAAGTTGTTAATGAATTATCTGATTAATGAACTTTAAGGGAACAAATTAAACTGAACTTGGTGACAATGGGTGCATGATGTTGGCAGCATCAAAAACATTTAAAACACAGTGGTAAGAAAATAATAAGAATATAAGAAAAAAAAACAAGAAAACTTATCCCAGTTTTTGTTGCTTTGTCTTATGCTTTTAGATTCATTTCTATAAGATATACTTAAGATAGCTTTACCAGTTTTTCACATTATGAATAAATTATGTATTCTTAAAAACAATAAATAAAAAATATATGTTCTAAAGTAAAAACAAAAGCAAAAATAAAAAAACAGAAAAATAAAGATAAAACCATCAAATTGACAAGAGATACAATAACAGAATCTAGAATTTTGGAGCATATCCATAATAACTATTTGATGTAAAATATCCTCAAAATTTAAAACCATTATTCATTGTGCTATATAGCACCTAACAACAACACAGCATTATAGTTATTTTTAACATAGATGTATATGAACCTACTTATATCTAAAAATTATTAATACATGTCATTAATTCTATTTGCTCTCAATCCATTGTTTGAATATAATATCAGATTTTAACCCAAAATGTATTGTTTTAAATGTGTGGTTTCTAACCTTTCTCCTATTTTAAAATACTATATGGTTAGTCAATGGTTAGTTCAGTTATCACTTAAACTCTTAGGTTTATTCCTTTTTCATAATTTCTAAAAAACCTATAAGATGGAGCCTTATGAATTCATTGTTTACACATTGTCAGAGTAATTTATAGAAGTGAAACTTCTTTTTAAAATGATATCTATATTTAGTACAATAACATTTTGGCACTATAAACAGATACATAGTAAGCTGCTGTCTAACTGAAGTTCAGTGTCTAAGACCTTATTTTTATCAGAACCGAGAGTTTCCCTGTCCTGCATCATCTTCATTATCACCAGCAGTGTTTGATCCTTTGCTGTAGCTACCGTGCCTATCCACCTCTTTCACCTTCCCCATCAAGCATCTGCCTTTTCTTCATTGCCCTGCATTTTGCCAAAGACACGGTTCTCGCTCGAAATTTGTCTTTCTAGAGGATGTGTCCAAACAAAGGAGTTAAACAATGCTCTGTTGTGATCCATATGGTTTTCACTGGCTAATTTTCAAAATCAGATTTCCAGATATTTCTTCTTAGTCTGTTGTAGTCTAAGTTCACCAGGCTGACCCCGGTGGTATTTCAAGTATCAGAGCCTTGGCTAGGCAGCTGCTTCTGTGATATCACAGCTTTCTACGTCTGGATTGAAGAGGTTCAATGCATAGGGATAGCGAGACCCAAAGCTTATACTATACTTCTGGCTGTTCATTTTTGGTGGTAGTGAGATCCGCACATCTTGCTTCTGTGATGTTGAACTTTATGTCAGTTGAATGGCAAAACTGACTAATTCCCACATTCGATTTCCAAGTTTTTACATTCACAGTTAACCCTGTTAACAATCACTTCTGAATTGCATAATTGTGAGTCTTCCCCCACCATCTCTTACTCAGACTCGTCAGGAAAAGTTATTTGATGGGAGTTATAAAGACGATAGCTGAAAGACCCATATTAAGTAATGCACTGCAATTCACTTGATGTATTTGAATGTGAACTCAGTTTATTATGTAAATTAATGTATTCTTTTGTGGAAATAAGACAGGTTAACTCTGATGAACTAAACTGTGAACACCGTTATGATCTCATAAGCACAATTACCAACATAAGGAAGAACTGATCTGGCTCATAGTTTACCTGACAGCTAGAACAATCTCAGAAAATGTATGGGCACATTAAACAACTATATTAGATCAGAATCATATGTAGATGAAATATGGAATAGCCCCTCCTAGCTTCCTCCTCCATCCCTCCTTCTAATAGTTCAGGAAACATGTTAAATACTGAGTAAACAATTCTATCCACATTGAGCATCATGCAGACTACTAAAAATGTCTCTTTTATTCATCCAAAATACTGTATGGTTTAAAAAACCAAGATTTAAAATATAGCTGACAATAAAATTTGACCAGCAAACTTTTGTTTATTTTACTTTTAAAGTATATCTTCAAATGTGGACAGACAATGCTAATGAATTGATGTAACTTTAGTGAATATGTTATTCTGATTGAGTATTGTGAAATATTTTGCATAATTATATACATATGTAGATATTTTTTGATGTGAGACTAACAATGTACATAATATACTTCATAATTATTTTAAAGGCTAATGTATTCCTGAGTATAAGGTCTCCTAAACAATGATATTTATATATCAAAGATATTGCATCCAAAAAATAAAAAGATGGATGGTTTGCCAAATATTGATATAATCAGTTACCTTTCTGATTTTGAAGAGATTTGTAAAATATATTTCCCCAAGAGCTTAATGAGACTTAGATGACACAAAGTAAATACAATGAAAATTATAAAATTTATCTTACTTACTATGATGGTTATCAATTATAGTTTGTGCTGGCGGTTGAAACACACCAAGTTTTAAAAGTTCTAGGTTAAAAATATTGATCAGGATGAAGTTTTTCATGTGAACTGCTAATATTTGCTCATGAATCCACTCTCATATTTGTGAAAACTCTGGATTGCAAAGCATCCATCTTCAATCCATTGCAAAGACTTCCTTGTACTGTGTTCATTTCAACAAGACAACAAGGAAAACAATGATGATGACATTAGGGTTATGGAATGTCAGGAATCCTCTCCTGTTTGAGAAGAGCTTATGTTCTACCCTCCCAGGGTAGCAAGTGAGTTTACTATATCTGGTTTCACATTTGCTTTGTTCCATAAAAAGGCAACTAAGTGAATAAACAAAAAGTCCTTTGTGGCCCACAAACAAGGTTACTAATGAATCTACTGAGTAAGGAAATTTGGAGAAAAAAAAACAAAAGGCATCATTGGAGACAGTGCCCTCAGAGACAGGTGATGCAGCACAAGATACAGGCCAGTAGCACCAAAAAAGAAAAAAACAGTCAGACGAGCTTAGCTTTATTTTATTTCACATTGCTTATTCTGAGAAATAGTATAAGATCATAGAGAACATTTCTTTTAAAAAAAATCATTTTATTGGGGGCTCATACAACGCCTATCACAATCCGTACATACATCCAGTGTGTCAGCACATTTGTACATTTGTTGCCATCATCATACTCAAAACATTTGCTGTCTGCTTGAGCCCTTGGCATCAGTTCCTCATTTTTCCCCTCCCTCCCCGTTACCCCCTCCCTTGTGAACCCTTGATAATTTATGTTATTATTATTTTGTCATATCTTACACTGTCCAATGTCTCCCTTTACCCACTTTTCTGTTGTTCATACTTCAGAGAGGAGGTTATATGTAGGTCCTTGTAATTGGTTCCCCCTTTCTACTCCACCTTTGCTCTACCCTCCCAATATCACCACTCTCACCACTGGTCCTGAGGGGTTTATCTGTCCTGATTCCCTGTG